TATTTTTATAATATGCTTTAATATTTATCAGTGCTTGAGGTTTTCTTTGTTTAGGAAAATTCTTAGGGAGTTCTGGTGGCCTAGTACTAAGAGGCTATGCTGCAATATCAAAGGTACATGGTTTGAATCCACTAGCTGCTCCACAGAGGAGGACGAGCAGTCTCCTTCTGTGTAATTTAATGCCTCTGAAACTCACTGGAGGATCAGCTATTGTTTGGTTACTAACCACAACAACAGGGGAAATAGAAATCCAGGTGTCTGTTTATAAATTTCAATGTTATTTAAATTACAGCAAAATTCTGTCATTTGAAGAAATTTTGTTAGAATATATAAAATTTTCTAGTATAATACCAAGGTTTCTGTTTTTAGGTAGTTTTATTTGCAAAATATTATTTAGTGAGTATCTACTATGTCTGAAATACACAAATATTCAAATGTATTTCTTATATTATTTATCAGTGACATACATAAAATTTTAGAAAAGATGTTTAATTTGTTATTGCTGTCGTTGAGTACTATCTAGTCAGAACTGACTCATAACTGATCTGCCAGTGGTTTTCAAAGTGAGAACTCATATTTTTTATTGAAAATATATAAGTTGTGTTATTATGTCCCAAAAATATGTATGGAAAACAAATTTATTTTCTGTCTTTTTCCCCACCTTCTTTAAACCATGCAGGTCCACAAGGTCCTAAAGGTGATCATGGGCCAGTTGGCTTTCCTGGAAGTCGAGGATTATCAGGCCCACCTGGCAGAACTGGAAGACCAGGTATTGTGATAAAAAATATTTTCATTATAGAAAATGTAATACACACACAATATCATATATTTTTTAAGTTGTTTGACTGAAAATAAATGGTTTTTGTAGTTCAGGAAGTAATACAGAACATTTCTTTTGTGATCTGAAACACTTTGAAACTAATTTTTGACCACTTAAGGAAAGTTTCTATGACCCTTAATAGAATAAACATAAAGAGAAAGAGTTAAAAAAATTCTACAATAGCAAATTAGTAGGGTTAAAACAAAAGCAAAACAACAAAATATGCAATTCCTTAAACTAAATTCTCTAGATTTCTCAAGTTACAGTAACAAAAGGCAGAAACCTTTTAATGTTTGGCCATCAGGCCTTGTTTTAATTGTTTCTGGTAAAACATTCTTCTAAGTGGTATAGCATTGGTCTGTCCATTCACTGTACAAAGGTAACTCATGGTTGCTGTGGTGCTAAACGCTGTGACACTGATATTTCAAATGTGATAATGGTTACCCATGGTGGATAGTGTTTGGTGGAGCTCCCTGATTAAAACAAGGTTAGAAGTAGGAGTGGCATCCACTTCCGAAATAGCTTGCCTCCAGAAACTCTATGAACTTGGAGAAACGATGAAAGTTATACAAGTGTTCACGTCTTTTCATTACTAGGGTCGCTATGAGTCCTCTACGACTTGACAGCACCTAAAAACAACCACAAGCCGGTCTATGAAAATTGATAAAATCTGGCATTTATTTCAGAAAGCTTTAAGTTGTTAAATGAAGTATTACTTTATATAATTTCAAAATTCCTAGAGAAATAGAGATAAAGCCTTGTCAAACAAGCTAGATATTCCAGCGTATAAATTATATCTTTCCTCAGGATAGCCCATTCAAAGCCTGAAAAAAATTTAAGATAGAATTATAGGATTTTTGGCATAAATTATTCCTTTATTAATCCAACACACATTTATTGATCACCCCTGGGCAGATACACATGGATATTTAAATATGCAACCCTTGCATTCAAAGGAGAGATAAAGTTGTCGCTATAATCATATAAAAGGTCATAGAAACTAGTGATTTTAATAACATTTCATAGAAAGAGTATGAGAAGAAGTAAGCTGAGAAAGTCTGGGGGTGTACGTCATTTGAAGGCTAGTGGCATAGTCTGGGAGTGTGTTATGTGCTAACCAAGAATCGAAGAGTCTCTGGTGGCCAAATTCCTCCACTGGCTCTACAGTCTCCTCTCATAAACATCTTAGAAGCTTTGGAACCCTGACAGAGTGTTGCTTTATGAGTTGGAATCAATTTTGTGGCAGTGAATTTTGAGTTAAGAGTTTAAAAATCTAGACTGAGTAGGAGCAAAACAGCAGATTGGAAGGAAACTAGAAAAATGTAGGAAAGAAGCTTGAGAGAGTTTCAAAAGGTAGTCAAGTAAATGGTTTTTCTCTTCATTCATTGATATGGAACTAAAAATACATCAAGTCAGAACTGACTCACACTGACGCTTCAACAGGTTTTCCAAGGCTGCGAATTGCACAGAAGATTTCCCATTATTCCCATAGAGAACTGCTAGTGGATTTGAAATCAGCAGAGAGACTTTGAGTGAGCGCATACTAGGCCCCCAGAATTCCCCTCAGTTTAGAAGGGAAAAAAATAATAAAAGAGTTTAGTTTTTTTGTTTGTGGAGGATATTTTTTTCTTTTGATTTAGAATATTTTTATTTGAACATAAAACTTGCATATAATTTCAATAATTATGGAAAGATAAAAGATTAGAGATGCCAAGAAAAATAGAGGAAAAAGATAATGAGAGATTGATAAAAGGAGTCTTGGGGACACAGTAGTTATGTGCTCAGGAGAAAGATGTGGTAGTCTACTTTGGTAAAGATTTGAGGATGTCAGTTCCACTCTTTGCTGTCAGATAAGTCTAAGTCACTATGATTCAACTTGATGACAACGTGTAAGGTTAAGGAGAAGAAAAGTATTCAAAGAATATGAAGAAGCTTTAAATTTATGAAGGAGATAGTCACATTTTAAATTGATATAACTGAAAAAAGAGAAGGGCTTTAGAAAAAATGTTTAGAGGCATTAATAATGGTGTGTGGATGGATGGAGATGGCTAACTTACTATCTGTTCATACAAGGATTTTTTTTAAAACAATTGAAATATTTTATTAGTGCTATCATTGATAAATTTTTAACATATTTTCTCAGATTTAAAATTTCTGTTATCTATTTTAATTACTATTGTATGAGTAGACTTTTATAAATCTTACTGGTTTTTCATTCAATCATTCATAAATATTTTAAAATTACTTCCCAATTAAAAATATTAAGTTGTGATATCAGTTTATTGCATACTATTCACTTCTCCTTTTCCAGTAACTTCCAAAAATATTCGTTCCTCATTTTTAGGTAAAGAATGAAAAATGTGAGAGGCAATGGTTAAGTCTAGACTTTTCACTCAAGTCTTCTAAGCAAGGGCATTATTATAAAGCAGTAATACATCCCTGTTCTCTAAAAGGGACATTTTTGATGTGTTCAAGCTGAAAGAAAGAGATTTCCAGGCATCATCTTCCAAGAAGTCTCTGAATAATGCTAAAAGTTGTACATGTTTATTTTTTATACAGAGATGAAAGATTTCATTTTGCTGTCTTTAATAGGCAGAGTGGTAAAAGAGAAGCCAAAATAAGTAAATAAAACTGTAAACACTGCTAAGGGGCTCTGGTGGCCTAGTCCATCTGGAGCTGTGCTGCTACCCCAGAGCGTGAGCCTCACTGGAAGTTCAAATCCACCAGCGGCTTCATGGAGAAAAGAAGAGCAGCCTCTTTCTGTGCAATTTACAGCCTCAAACAACCTGCTGGAGAGCTATGAGTTCGTTCTGACTCGGCATGAATGAGCAAGTGAATAATGATATTTTGTGGGTTATTACTCCAGTGCAAGTGCTTGAGCAGTTCTCTTCTTAAAATATACAAGACAAATTGTGTTAAGAAAAACTTCCAAGAATAAAGCAAGATAACTTCCTTTTCTTTCCTAATTACAAATAACTATATTAAGGCTATTATTTAAAATATTTCCCTTTTAACTCCAAACTACCCCTTTAAAAAAATATTTCAACTTTCTAACACTTTTACATTTCATTTCTATACCCCCTACAAAGACATTTTGGTTTATTTTATGTTAAATAAATTTTTACTATTTTTACAGCACCTGAAATAACTCCATTTCAATTAAAATGTGAACTTAATGTAAAGTTTAATCATACACGAAAAGCAGCAGAAACATTCTCATTATAATACTGATAAAAATGTCATCTTATTAACTCTATAAAAATTTATGCTTTCTATGTGTGAAACTTAAGACTCATGCTGTTCATTACATTTTATATTTTACACATTAAATATTTTTAATTTGTCCAATTAAGAGGGGGGGAAAGGCTTATTTAAGAAGGGAAGGCACCCGTGGCATCATGCTCTGTAGGGAACTGTGCTTCTAATCCAATGATGGTACCTGTCCAGGGCTTGACTCCAGCTGATACTTCACACAAGAAGGGTGAGCACTTTACAGCCTCCAACGCCTGCTTTGAATGGTCAGCTGTGAGTCAATTCCAACTCAGTGGCAATCGCTTAGTTTCTTAGTTAAGAAATGAATAAGGACTTTAGAAAAGGGTTCTAAAATCATTCACAAACAAAAATCAAACCAATTAAACCAAAGAGACTTCAAGCTATAAATGAAAGCTTTAATAATAATAATAATAATAATAATACATTATTAAAAAGTAAACTAAAGCAAAAAATGCCTTTCTCATTCACTCAAAACAAAAGCACAAAGGGAAAATGTCACCTACATTTTGGGAAATGTAAAACAGAAGTATTGATAATGAGGTCTAACATCCCTGAAATGCATGTTATCTGAAAGGTCCTTTCTGAATATTGTTGTCATTCTTAAGACAACTTTGCAGTGGAATATTTCCTCTCACCCCTTTACTGAAAAGTAAATTTTAGTTCAGAAAGTTTTAAAGCCTTGCCTTAAACCACAAGCCAAGTAAGAGAGCAAAATAATTCAAGATAAGGACTTCAAACAATTAATTTTATTCCAAAAATCATGATTTTCAAACAATAGTGTTTGAGTGATTAAAAAGGATTCAAGTTCTTGGTTTTGTTGAGGAACGTCAAGAACATTAAAAGAGATATTTTACTTAGAAACTGACAACATTAGAATTAGTGTTATAGTTATGTAAGGAGATGGTCACTTATGCACTAGAGCTTGGAGGGCAACTGGATAAAGAATTAATAACCAATAGTTGCAGCACTCCTCTAATGTTAAATGATCACCATCAAAATATGATCTTGTAGCAAAAGACTAAATCCTAGACCCAGTGCTTTGACAACCCTCCATTGGCTTTATGAGGCAGTAAAATTTAGTGATGGAAACTTCCCTCTTCTTCCTGTAGAGCGTCTGGTGGGGTCAAACTGCCCAATCCATCAAAAATATAACTGTGGGTCACATAGTATGTCCTTAGCAAAGACCAGAAATATTTTCCTATGCTTTTGAAGACTTATTAATTGCATATTAGATCATAGTTGCCTGTATTCATATGGAAATGGATGAATGTGTCCAAAACAACTAGTGATGCTAGGGAAAAAAGCTTGGTCATGTGCCCCCTTAAGATACAGCCGAGAATACCCTGTAGAGCGGTTCTACTCAGCAACACAGCATGTACTCCATAGCATCAGACTTGCGTCTTTCGATCCAGAGACTTGCATGCTCCAAGAACTCTCCTAGGCTTCCCCAAGGGTAGAGGTAACAAGGACCTCAGCATTCTCAGAAATCCATTCAAAAAAGGAACTAAATAGATAAACTGAAACAGGAAAAAAATAATATGGTTTAGGGTTATTTGATTTGAGTTTCAAAATAGAAAATACTAAACATCCTGAGCCTAGAGAAGGAGTAGGGTGGGGATTGAAATAATCAAGGAAAGAGGAAGAAAGGGGAGTGAGTAAGCATTTAAAAAACTACTTACAATTCAATTTTGCCTGCCATAGGGAAGAGGAACCCTGTGTAAAGAAGCCCTGGTGGCACAGTGGTTAAGCACTTAACTACTAACCAAAAGGTTGATGGTTTGAACCAATGTCCCTCCTGGGCCCCTCATGAGGGAGTTCTGGTAGCCTAGTGGATAAGGAGATGCACTGCCAACTCAAAAGCAGATGGTTCAAATCCACCAGCTACTCCTTGGAGGAAAGATGGGCTATCACCTCCCATGTAATTTCTTCTCTGAAAACCCAATGTAGGGTCAGCTATGAGTCATTTCCAACTCACAGCAACAAATGAGTGACTGACCCCAAGCATGGGAGAATAATGCGGCAGTCTGCTTTTGCAAAGATTTTCAGCCTTGGAAATGCTATGGAGTTCTATTCTGTCCCACAGAATCCCTGTGACTCAGGACAGACTTGATGGCAATGGTTAATGCCTTTGGAAACAATTTGAGATAAAGTGTATCAAGAACCACCTGACACAATGCAAGGTGCACAACAGGATAGCTATTGTTAATCATAATTAGCATCAACAACATTACTATATTTTGTTTGTTGTTATTAGGTGCCATAGAATCAAGTACAACTCATAACAACCCTATGAACAACAGACCTGAACCCTGTCCTATCCATCCTCACCATTTCTGACACACTCGATCCTATTGCTACAGTCACTGTTTCAATCCATCTCATTGTGGGTCTTTCTTTTGCTGACCTTCTATGTTTCCAAGTATGATGTTCCCTTCCAAGGAATAGCTTCTCCTAGCAACTTGTCCAAAGCATGAGACCAAGTTTCATCAGGTTGTTGTAAATAAATTAGAATTTTCAATTATCTTCTGATAATCTTTCTGTCTGCATTTTATTTTCCCTAATTAAGGTTAGTCTGTAATAAACGTGTGTGCATATAATTTTTTTTCAAGGTTTACCTGGAATGAAAGGCCAGAAAGGGGAGAAAGGAAGTGCACAAAGTAAGTTCATCGTTCTTGTTTTCTACATGCATTTTTTCACTACATGTGTGACAGAAATGTTCTTAACTGTAGACAAATGATGAAAGCTTCAGCATTGCTCAGTAGAGAATCAATGAGAGCCAACCACAATTTTCACCAAGTTAAAGGATACTAATTGGAGTAAAACAAATAGATTTCACTATACAATGTACTGAATCTCATTACCCATTTGCATTTTGGTTTTGTGATAAGCAGGATTTTTTCCTAAAAATTCCACTAGAAAATTGTACAATTTCCAAACCAATTTCAATGCACTGGAGAAAAATCAAGCTTATGAATAGAAACAATTAGTGCTTCCTTACCCACTAAGTGAGCTAACTGAATCTGATACATAGGAATTTGAAGAGCCTAGACTCCCTGCTTCCAGATTCATTCTCTCATCACTTGCTTTTATTTTGATTTATGTTAATAACAACTTTAAAACTGTGATGTTTTATGTCCTAGAGTTTCAAAAGTTTGCTAATAAAGGACATTATATAGTAATATTGTGATGGGGAGAACCTGTAACTTGCCTTTTAAAGCTAAATATTAGGTGACATGCTTTCCATATATTGTGCTGTGAATTAATTGTTGTTCACTCACTCAGGTTGAATCTACAATATAAGAAATTTATTTCCTTTCTGAAATGTACCTGTTTTTAGTTTGAATCATTGCCATAAATACTGCCACAATAGCTTCACTTTAACAAAAATAATTAGCTCAACACAATATTCTGTGGCTATCACGTTTAACAACATAGGATATATAATAGTGATGCATTCTCTAAGTAAAGCATACATAAGTTTTTCCCAAAGTTAAATAACAAAATGGATTACAAAGTATGTCATTTCAAAGTGTTTGAGCATTATTCAGAGATGATAACAATAATTATTATTATCAAGGTAGTAGTTTAATTATAGCAGTGCTATATTTTTTCCTCTTTTATCCTCATTTTCCAATATTTCTTTTGTCTGCTTTAGGTTTTTACCCCATTTATTTCCCCTTTCCTTTGTCACTGCATCCTTTTCAGCTGGAGTCCTATCATTTTCTTACCATCTTTGCCTGTATTTCATTTATCTTTTCTCCTTTTAATTTTTCTTTCTTCTTTTTGGGGGCTTTTACAGGCTTCAAAACACTGACTTTGCTTATGTTTAACAAAGCAAAGTAGAGTATACTTCTTTATTTTTCTGTCTGTAAACTAAGCATTCACATTTACTAGCTTCTGTTGCCGGAGTTTAGGCAAGCTTTTGCAGTTGTATACTTTTTTTTTGAGAGAGTAGTAAGAAATATATTTCTGTATAGTCTCTATATTCTCTCTCTCTCTCTGTCTCTCTCTCTCTCTCTCTCTCTCTCTCTTACACACACACGCGCGCGCACAGAAAGAATATAAAAAAAAAATATCTGTAATGGAAAAAAAAGTCCATGTAAAAAATTATCTATACAGTATAGACATATTTTATTTTTTAAAATGCCAGCAACCTGCCCATGTTACATGCATATATAGATCAATGTTTACATATTAGTTGTTCTGCCAGCCCAAAGGTGTGCAGTTCAATTCCCCAGCTGCTCCATAGGAAAAAGAATCACATCCTCAGAAAACATGCTAGAGGGTCAGCTATAAGCTGGTCCTAACTCGATGGCAATGAAAATAGTTCTGTTAGTTTTACCATCAAAAAAACTCACTCTCATTGCTGTAGAGTGTTAATGTCAATAGAAGAGAAAGATTGAGATTTCTGGTGGCCTGCTGAGTAAGGAGTTATGCTGCCAACTCAAAAACAAGCAGTTCAAATTCACCAGCTACTTTTTAGGAGAAAAATAGTCATTCTCCTCCTGGAATTTGTCCACTGTAATATCAGCTATGAGTTGGTGGTAACTTAAGGACAATGACAAAACTGTACCGTAATTTCCAGAAAACACCTATTTGATCCTATTTTCATAAATACTTAATAAATTTTGTTTAATTTTCTTTGGCTTTAACAAACAATAGTACAACTGCTCATGTTTGATCTTCTGAGAATATTTTAGTGGAGAATTTTCTTGAAGTAAAATCAATAGCTCAAAGGGTTTGTGCATTTTTTTTAATTGGATCAGTTTTTCCAAATGACTAGCAAAAGTACTCATTTATTTCTTCAGAAAGTAGCTGATTGTCTCTACACTGTGAACTGATCCTGATGTATGGAAGTTTATCTAGAATATA